GCAAACTTACACAGTTGTATTCATTTTCTTTTACATAACAAAACAGAATATGTTGAAAGCTCCTGAGCGCTATCTTCAATGTCTTTTTATTCAAAAACCTCATCTTGATTTTTCAACTCGATATTTGAGATGCAATTGATGTTTTTTGAAGAAAGGGATAACTTGGCTACCCTTGTGGAACACAAAGTTTTTCACAGTTTCCCCGATGCAGTTTTACCCATTTTAAACCTTATAAAGTGCCGGAAACGAAAAACGAAAATCCGTTCAGTTTTCATGTCGGTTATGCAGCAGAAAAAAGAAATCTCCAGCGTCCAAAACAGAATTTCACTCCACCAGCATCAATCAATATAATAAAAAGAATTAATCCGCAAAAATATAATGAATTCTTTTAATTCGACAGCTGAGATATGGATTCTCAGCAAATTATGCTTTTTAATGAGTGGAATAACTAAAATGCATTTTGGGCACACAAAATTATTAAAGTTTTGTGAAGTTAGACAATTTTTCCGATACAGTTTTCCCAGCTTTATATTTCAAACGTCCGCATTTAAGTCGGCGGCTATTATATTTTTGTTTTTACACTCTTTTACATAACAAAACCCAACAGATTCGAAGAAAGCAGAATAAAATTTAGAAAAAGCGAGAAAAAAGTAAGAAAATAAGAAAACCGGGGAATCTCATTGAGTAGAGTTGAATTTCTTATATGAAGCCCAAACTGAGCCCCGCTTCTAAATTGAATTTGAAAACTGAGATTCCAAGGAAGTCCAATTTAAAACCGCAAAGAGAAAAACTTGCAAGATGTTCAACTGAAAAAAATAACCATGATTACAATAGAACGGCAAACAACTACCACATTGTTCGATTTTGATTATTGCAAAAACTTCAGAAAAAAATTACATTTTATAACTAGTTGTGTGAAACTTCTGATGAATAGCCCTCTCCTTATTTGAAAAACCGGATCAAAAAAATGACATTTTATTTCGCTGAAAAAAAGACCGAAACAAGTAAAAGGTTATTATGTTCATCAACATCGGTAAAGGACAGTGAGCAAACTGTAGAACATATTGAAATAATCACCCAGCTCCCAGTAATTTGTTCTCTTAGTTATTAATTCATAACAACTCAGTTCTTGCATTTTGAATCCGGGCGGTTGCTTTAATTCGTCAACTACATAATGACTCAATTACAATTAACTTTTTGTGAGCTTTCATTATTATAAATTTCAGGCAATGATGGCGCTGAAAATTTTTTTGACAAATATTGAGTGAGAAAAACCCGCAATGACAAAAATTGACACAGAGGAGAAGTTGCACACCGCATACAAAAGCAAAAATATGACCGATAACGCAACTGGGATAGACCGAATGAGTAAAATTCTGAGTCTACAAAATTTCTAAGAGACCCATTACCAGTCATTTTGGAAAAAAAAAATTTACCAACTAACAAACCATAATTTATAGAGCAGTCTATGGAGCAGTAACAACATGAAAAAGTTGAATGTAACAAAAATTGAATGCATTTTTTTTTAATTTGAGATGTTTTGTGAAAATCGTCCCCCCACACGCCATATTAAGTACAAAGTGACAAATTTCGCTTCTAATAACAAATAAATTGTGGCAAATAAGCTTCCTTCAACCAATTTGGAACAATTTCTAAGACGGATTAAATCTACGCTTACGCGTTAGTAGCGCGAAATATATCGCGCGTTAATTGTCCCAAATTGGCCAAAACGGCAATTTTTAAACCCCCATAACTTTACAAAAAATGATCAGAGGAGGAATATTTTTCGAAGATTAAGCTCAGGACATCAATACTTTTTGAATTATAAAAAAATCCTGTTTAGTTAAGATTTGAGAATGCATAAAATTGCAGAAAAAATAGAGTATTGGTTAAAAATGGTTAGTTAAAAAGTCGAAATTTGTCTGAAGAATAAAACCACCCGAGGACAAATATTCCGTTACTTTCGTTAGGAAAGTCGGAAGAATAATAGTCTGTGTTCAAAGCCTCAGCATTGGTTGTCCTTAGTAGCTAGTTGTTGATCAAAATGAACACTTTCAAAATGAACACATTTCATCGTAACAATATTTTTGAATTAGGTTAGAAAAAAAAGATAGTTCATACTATAACACAAACATTGCTTGTGTAATAACGGATAAAATTTATTATCTACAGAAAATACAGATTTCAGATCTGTTAGAAAATTATATAATAAAACTAAGATTATATAGTTTTAACAATTGATTATAATGCATTGTTTTAGAATAAGTTATATACCGTATATCTTAATTATAAAAATATTACCAAAGTTCTCTAATACTCTATTTTTCTGCAATTTCATGCATTCTCAAATCTTAAGCATACTAAACAAGACTGCTCGTATCAGGGCGAAGCCCTGAATGTTCCGACTGCCTTTTAAGGTTTATGGAGCAGTAATAACGTTAAAAAAATTAAATTTACTAAAACAAAATGAATTTTTTTTCTAAAATTTGAAATTTTTTCTAAAAATCATCCCCCACTAGCCACTTAAAGTACAAAAGGATAGATTTCGCTCCTTGCAGCAAATCAATTATGTCAAATAAGCTTCTTTCAACAAATTTGGAACAATTTCTAAGACGGATCAAATCTCAGCTTACGCGTAAAGAGTGCGAAATATATCGCGTGTTAATTGTCCCAAATTGGCCAAAATGGCAATCTTTAAACCACCATAACTTTACGAAAAATGATCACAGGTGAAATATCTTTTCAAATTTAAGCTCAGTAAAACAATACCTTTCGAATGATATAAAAAAATTCTGTCAAAAATGGCTAGTTAAAAAGTCGAAATTTGTCTGAAGAAAAAAACCCACTCAGAGCACAAAAGTTCCATTACTTTCGTATCGATAGTCGGAACAATAACAATTTTTATACAGATATTCTACAGATTATCTACATTTTAAACACAGATTTACAAATCATATACTGATTAAATACAGATTTTATTCAGATAAATTACAGACTATACTATATACATATTAAATACTACTTTTCTCAGCAAAATCACCCATCAGAACTGTTCTGTGAAATTTCCACTGCAAGAAGTCTAAGAATTGCTAGGCAATTGTCGCTTCGTTGCCGAAGCATGGTTAAAAAATATTTTAACTGATTAGTTTTATTTAGGGAGAAGGGTTTTAACTGATTAGATTAATTTAATTAAGAAAAAAAAAGCTAATTTGTATTAAAAAATTGAAACAAGCAAGAAATTTCAAGGATACCAATACCATATCATCAAATTATTTTCTCTGCTACTCAATTCCGCATTTTTGATAAAATAAAAAAACACGAAGACATTAATTGACATGTTGTCTAAAAATCGGAAATGAACAGCAGAGAAGATGGCTTGATGATGTGCTAGTATATGCTATTGTAGAAAAACCCAACAGCTATAAAAGCCCAGCTACATTTAGCCAGCGCCGTTTAATTTATCCTTTTGGAAATCGATTTAAAAAAATGTATCCATAACGGTTAATCTGAAGACTATATTTCCAGTAACAACATCGATAATTTATCAGTTAGATTAGTTGAAAAAATCCATTAGCATATATAGTTCAGTCACTTTTAGAATTGCGTTTCCAATTATTCCGTTTACCATTTAGTTCTCTAATTTTCCAAATAAACTTTCCAATCAAGTTCAGTTTAAAGCGTATATGATATAATAGCTATTTTTCTCAGCTTATCAATTAATTCCTTGTTTCCACACGACCGGATTTAGATTCTTGTCGTTACTGATGCTTTGGTTAACCAAATATGGCCAACAAACTTTTGGAAAAGTTTCAATGAACTTAAGAACGAAAACTTTTTCACTGTTCTGAAAGTTGCGAAATTCGAAGCAAACAAGAAATCAAGTTGAAGCTCTCTAAATTTCACGAATATTTTATGGCCATCACTTTTTCTTAAAACTCCCCCTATAAGCAAAAAATAAATCACGCGTAAATTGCCTTCCTTGTAGCAAATGATTTTGGAGCGAAATTATAATGAAATCGAAAGTCAACAATGCTTGCTATTCGCGAGCGTAATTAGCAAATAAAGAAAATTGTCTTGATCAATTTTTCAAATTTTTTACTGAAGAAAAAATATCAAGTCCTCCACAAATGTCTTCACTACATTCACCGATATTTATTTCCGCCTCCCACAAAATAATCATTGTCATTGGCCATTAAAAGAAAGAGAGAGAGAAGAGAGAGATAGTGTGTGTTTTTACTTTTTGCCGAAGATAATCTTTTTTGAAAATTGATTGTAATTTAACTGTGAGGGCAAAAATTTGACGTTGCGTTTGCTTATCAAAACTTTCGCAATTATGACTCTGTTAACAGGTTGAGATTCTCAATTATGAGGCGATTTGAGATTCTGTCAACGAGAATCTAGTTGCATGACACCAATAAATGAAACGCTAAGTTTTTCTCAAGCATTCAGAATTAAATATCATAGCTTGCACAGAAAAATTTTCTAATTGCAGGCTCTTATTTATTTTGAAATTGATTTCGTAGGTTTTCGTTAGTTTTGAGAGGAAACAAATGAGCTAATAATTAAACTTCTGAGAGAAAATAAGCGTAAGTTTCAAATACAGCCTTATTAAAAATTTCGTTATTTTTTGGATGATAGCATCTAACAAAGTTCCTGAGCGCCATATATTTAACTTACTTTGTTACAATCTCCATCATCCACTTGATTTGATTTCCGTTTTAATCCACTAAGTCGAGTCTTAGTTTCTTGACTAAACAGATCTGCAGTGTAGTGATTCGATATTTTGATTTCTCTCTTCAGCATTGCTAGTTCTCTCTTGGACACTATCACATACTCTCCTTTGTTTGGAGTACTCTGCATTGGAGAAAATTGTTTCCCATTCATGTTTGATTCCATTTTGATTTCAAATTAAGTTTTTAGCACTCTATAAAGCAATCATTACGAGTTTTCAAACTAACAAAAGCTTTCTGATTTTTCAAATCAAAATCTGACTTAAAAAGACAATTTAAAACAATTAATTATTTAACAAAATTTATTTCAAAAATCTCAAGAGTTATTCAATTTTCTAGTTCTAGAAGCGATTGAACACCAGTGATAAATCTTCTCCAAATTTAACCATCAACGTAGTTCCAGCTCCAATTTCACCTCTAGGTTTCTAGTGGAGACTTCAAAGTCGCAGTATTGGTCTCCATCCTCCGTACAAAACTCACACCTGCACTCGCTGTTTGCCTATCTACAGACTGCGTACATGCTCATTTCCACTGAATTGAAAGAGGGCATTATGTCCAGATTGGCTTCCTTGCAGGGCGAGTAGACTTTGACTTGTCTCACGTGAGTGTCTCTCCCATTCTGGTGGTTACCCTCGATCGAAATCTGAACCATAAACGTCTTCATTGGTCGATCCTAAAAAAATCCATTCTTCTGAGGCCTTTTATATTAAACACATTTACAAAAAATAAAACAAAATCGTACTAGGGCATTCGACAATTTGATTGGATAATTGGACTTGATAAAAAAACATTGGAAAAAATTGTTTCGACAGGCTTCAACACTTTTCTGAAGCTCTCACTCTGTATTTGTAACAAATGACGTTTGATACTGTTTAGCAAATAATATTATTATATCGAAATCTGAACCATAAACGTCTTCATTGGTCGATCCTAAAAAAATCCATTCTTCTGAGGCCTTTTATATTAAACACATTTACAAAAAATAAAACAAAATCGTACTAGGGCATTCGACAATTTGATTGGATAATTGGACTTGATAAAAAAACATTGGAAAAAATTGTTTCGACAGGCTTCAACACTTTTCTGAAGCTCTCACTCTGTATTTGTAACAAATGACGTTTGATACTGTTTAGCAAATAATATTATTATATCATATTTTTATACTTAAAAAACTAACACTTTTGTCTTTGAGTAGAGCCGCAATCCACCCAGACGGATCGTCCAGCACTAGTTTGTCCACCACACACAAGTCGTGGAAGTTATTGCCTACTTTGATGGTAACCTAAAAAGTGTTGCCCATAAAAAACGAGATTTTCATAACGATGCTTTCATACCGTACAATTATTTATTGTTTCTTCTGTTATACGTTTTTGTTATTAAAACTTTTTCAAATATTAGAATATACCTGACCGAGCAAATGAAATCATTTCTCGGAAATGAGATCTGAAGAACAATTATCGCCCCAACTTAATTGAAAGAACTCGTTGAAAGATACTGATAGCTTCAAAGTATTGCTCGAAGATAGAAATCTTTGAGGGAAAATGAAAACCACTGCTTTGTCGCACCTTTCGCCCTGGAATACGAATTCAAAATCTACAGAAATTGGCAAAAAGGCAGAGGTAAATTAAATTATAGCAAAGCATGCAGAGGAAAATTGAAAATTTAGTTATTTATCGAGCATTTTTTTCAAATTACCTCTTTGGGTGTGTAGCTCTCGTCTTGTTTGTAATCAGCATATATCATGATGCAGTGTAGCTCTGTCTTCTGGGCGAATTGGATGTTGATCACATGGGGCTGGGGTTCATCCGACTGCCAGTAAGTCGTCGTCAGACCATCCCTGATAAAAAAAACACGAACCCTTTAAAATAAATTCAAGACCCATTATGGATCATAATTAAGTATCATTATGAATCGGCCTTGCATAAAGATGGCAGTAAAAAGAAAATTTACACAGAGGCTTACCTTTATACCAGCAAATTATAAAGGTAAGCTTCTAACAACCTTCTGTGTCGATTAAACCTATGATAGATATGGCAGGATAAGTACCAGGAAAAGTCCAAAAAATGGTCAACAAATCAGAAAGTTGACATTTCCTGAAATCATAGCTTTTTGTTTAAAAATTGGGCATAGCCGCTTATGCAGAAGAGATTCACTTACCCTGTAAGTTCCATTGAATTCAAAAACCCAGGTTTGGCAGGTTAGTTCCCGAGAAAAGTCAAAAAAGTTTCAAAAACGGTCAACAAAATTTGACTTTCCCGAGGACCATATTTTTTGTGGCAAAATTTGGGCGTAGGCGTGTATGTAAAGGAGCTTCTTATAGCCGATTCTTTGGATTTCTTTCGGTAAAATTCATATAATTTAGAAAAAACAACGCGCAAAAAATCGAAAATTACAAATTTTGTTTAAAAAAAGGTGAGTGGTCGCTAACGCAGGAGAGCCTCCCGCTACATCTTATATCCACTGAACCGACAACCTCAGGTTTGGGAGCTTAGTTTTCGAGAAAAATTGAAAAATATTAAAAAAACGGTAAAAAAAATCAAAAATTTGACTATTCCGAGGGCCATAATTTTATGTGTGAAAAAAGTTTGTGCGAGGTCGCTATTGGAAGGGAGCTTTTCAAAACCGTTCTATTCATTGAAACCAAAATCTCAGATTTGGTAGTCTAGTTTCTGAGAAACCAAAAAAAAAATCAAATATGTCGTTAAGATATTCCCCCACCGACTTTTTCGTAGGCTGTAGACAGAGGGGTAAAGCAAAAAGAGAACAGGGGAGTGTGCAAGCACACAAGAAAGTAGGCGGTCTTTCTATGGATACCCCTTAATTTGAAAATCGGTAGAAGTGTTTTTGAGACTTTTTTTGCAGAACTGGTACAATTTTCCAAAAAATAAAATAAAAAAACAGGAATTCAAGGCAAACTTGCCAGGCAAAACATTTGAAATTCGAATTAGCAACTGAACAAAACTTATGAAGCGGAAACAAGGCCAGCAATCTTTAAGCAGCCACCAGTTGAGCCGAAAAAAAAACTATTTGAAAAAATAAATTTAGAAATTTCAAGTCCTCCTGAAATTACCCTGTAGTAACTAGTACCCACCCAGTAGTTAAATTTGAATTTTCATGAAATTGAGCATGTCAGTTGCATACAAGCATCATAAGTGATTCAATTGATTTTGTTAAACTAAGTGTTAACCCGAAAAAAGCCTACTCCGATTTGTTAACGCTTGCTAATCGCAAGCGTAATCAAAAGAAAACTTGAAAAATTGTGATAAAACAAAAAAACAGCCTGTCTCGCATCAGCACCTCAAAAATAAATAAAGTTTTGTTCAAAAGAAAAACTGCACTAAGCTAGCAAAAAAAATGAAAACAAAAAAACTTAAAAACAAAAGCTTAAAAAGGATAACTCGGAAACTAGAGGATCTAACCCACCTCAATTGTCCGACCCCGAAGCCCGATTTGCACGAAGAAAGTGACCACACAGCGTGGCTACCGACTTCCCGGATGAGTCCATTCTGCTCGAACTCTTCCACCGACTTCACAACTGAGGCATTCAAGTGGCTATTCGAAGCTGTCGGACTCTCCCCCGGAGAGTTTTCTAAGTTGGCGTTGGTTCCTTGTTGTTGATTGGCCATTCATTTAAACTAATTTTAACTGGAAAAAGAAACCATGTACGGAATACAAAATCTGAAAAAAAACTCAAGCTCTAAAGCGTTTCTTTGATTAAAAAAGTCTTCATATTTATCGTAGAATGGAGCCGTTGGGAAAACTGAATGCACACAAACTCACACCGAGGCGAAGCAGAGCAATGCACTACTTGCGACACAATGAAGTCCTTTCTGCGGGATTAAAGCCGACAGAAGTAAGCAGACAGGCGCTAGTCTGAAATAGCCAAAAAACTCAGTTTGCAAAAAAAAAACAGTGAAATCCAATCACAGGGCTTTGCCGTCTCAAGCACGCGTGTTACCTTAAGGCCAAATGCTCCATGAACTTAAATTTAAACACAGAGGCGAAGCTGCGCTTCGCAAACACTAGTGAGAACACGATAAAAATGCAACTATGTAAAGTGAAATATGAAAAGCTGGAGTAAAACATTGCTACGAATGGGCTTCGACTCTGCGACCTCAAGAATTGGAGTCTCACACCCTGCCCTCTCGGCGATGAACGCTTAAAAACTGTCAAACACTAGGTGCAAAAAACCAGCAACATATTTAACACATTACCAATGCTTTGCAGCAAAAGTGGCGCCAAATAGAAAGACACAAATTTGGAAGTAATAGTTCGGAATATAACAAACCGAAGGCATCCACACTAATTTTGCATGTAATTAATTGAAAAGCATAAAGCCACATTATGTATAAGTTATGCATTTCAAAAAATTGCGAGATAAATTGAGTTATATCCTTCTGAAATCGAGTTTTTATGATTGTTATGTTGTTTGAAACATAACTTTTTTCGGTTCATTTGATGAATTAAAAACGCATCAGCTGTGTTAACTTAATACTATTCAAATGTCAAAGCACATGATATCAAAAAGCAGTAAAGGAGCCCTAAAAGTGGAACAATATTTGCGAATTAGGTTAGAAAAAGAAAATACTAGTCGTAGTATAACACTAACCATCACTCAAGTTCTCTAGTGAAAATAAGGCAAGTAAAACAAGCAAATTAATTTCACGAGCGAACTCTGTGAACGAAGTTATTAACGAGAAAAATTCTAGTACTTGGTTGCGTAATATTTGATTTCATTTAAACTAGCGTAAAACGCACCTCCGGTACTCATGATAAACCGCATATATTGGAAATAAGATCTGCATTCTTTGAGTGTGCTTTGACAGCACCCAATTACAGGGTTCTTAGTGACAAATTTTGCAAAGTATTTTATTCAAGTTTTCTATAAAAATGTTGAAGAACCATAAAATTTTGTGAAGTTTTATTTTCTTCGAAAAATTTAAACTGAACTAAGAAACGTCACATCTTGGAAACTAAAAGCAATCGAGCAGTCGCATTTTGACGCAAGATTCACATCTCCTGAGAGTACTCTTACAGTACCCAACCACAACGTTCGGAAATTCATATTTTGAGAAACTTCACCTTTAGTTTTCTAAACAGAGGTATTTTTGCTTGAAAATCAGAAAAAAATTTCATATCTCGAAAACTACCAAAATTTGAGCAGTCTTATTAGATGGCAATATTCACAATCTTTGAAAATACTCCGACAGCACACAACTACAGGGTTGGGAACTATTTTGTAATTTGAGTTTTCTGAAAATTTCAAAAAAAAAATCACAAAAATTGCCGTATCTCGAAAACAAAAAAGATATGAGCATCTTAATTGGAGCCCGAAATTGCAACTCCTGAGATTACTCTGACAGCATCCAACTACAGGTTAGGATTTTCAAACTTTGAATATAAAATTAATTTAATTTTCAAAATAAAAAAAATCACAAAAAACGTCATATCTGGAAAACTGCACGGTTTTGAGCAGTCATATTTGGAGACAAAATTCACAACTCCTGAGAGTACCCAGACAGAGCCTCACTACAGATTGTTTTCCTAAAATTATATTTAGCAATGAACGAAAATCAATTGAATGAACCAATAGTAGTTTTTCTTGATCAATCCACATCGAAGCTCAGGTTTAGTTTTATTATCTCTTCTCATTGTTGCTTTTCTATGGTAATTTCAAGTTTTATAAAAAGTTTTATACCCAAAATTTCTGAAAAATTTTGAGAAAATCCTAAAAAAAAAATGTCTATCTCGAAAACTCCAAGATTTTGAGCAGACATATTCAGAGGCCAGATTTGCAACCCTCTGAGAGTACCCAATAACAGGATTGAGATCTTCAAACTTTTGGAATTTTTCAACATCTAATTTTTTTTTTGAAAATTTCGGAGAAAATCATAGAAAACGTCATATCTCGAAAACTACAAGGATTTGGTTCTTCATATATGGAGACCAGAATCGCAAAACCTGGAAAAAGTCCGACAACCTCCAATTATTGGGTTGCTAATACAAACTTGATGAAATAAACACTGAATTTAAACGGGAAAATCGAAAAAACCTTAACCATTGCAATATACGATATAGTGAAAGCTTAAACATGAAAAAATTATTTTGTTTAAGATGCAAAAAATTCGTTGAAAAAGCTTAAACATGGCGAGATAGTGAAGCCCGCATTTAAATATATAATAGATAATAGATTTGATAGAAGAAAGTTAAAAAATTAGGAGACGGGTAGACAGACAATCAAATTAATTTAAAAAGCAGGTATACAGACAGACTTAATTTGGCCTCGAAAAAAATTACTGAAAAATTAATGACCTTGCGGAAAACTAATTGAAACATTTTCTCAAGCATTGCAATATATGATATAGCTTAAACATGAAAAAATTCTTTCGTTAACCATGCAAAAGTGTTATGCCTAAACATGGAAGATAGCTGTCACTAGCATTTAAATATAGTATAGATATAGATATATGGATAGATAGATATAGATAGATAGAAAGATAGATAGATAGATAGATAGATAGATAGATAGATAGATAGATATAGATAGATAGATATAGATAGATTTCCATTGATAGATTTCCATTGATGATTTCCATTGATGGTCAAAAGAAGGATGCTTAACATGCATCCATTATACTACTGCGACAACTGTTATTTCATGAATAAAGGTTTTTATCAATTATTGATGAATTCTATTTCTATCCCACAAGGTGATTCTATTTTTCGCTAAAGGAAGGCAACCAGAGTAGTGCCACGTCCAGACTCGTCTATTTCAGTATAATTATCAACGGACAAGTGTTCATATTTTTTTGAGGTTCAAATATTATTTACTGCAGGAGGCAAAATCATCGTATGTGTAAATTAGTACACTTGAAGTGCAATACCTCACTCGAAAATTGTTTTAAGAACTAAAAAGGGACGCGTACACTGATGCTTTTGGTAAATTGTGAAAAACTGTATCCATAGACACGACACGCGTCAATTGTTATGCGGCGATATCGAAACGCAATGCCCCGTTGCGCTATCCAAACCTTTTCAAATAAAAAGCGATTCATTAAAATACGCATTAAACCATACATTAAGCAGAAATGGTATTTTTTATCCTATTAAAAGAATTCTTTTTAGATGATTCTTAACATTAAAAAACGAAGTGGGTCAAAATTGCATCAAAAACTTCAAACGTGGAGTGTCATCTTTAACTAGACAATAATTCATTCATACTCGTCAACAAACTGTCAGAATTAATGTATCGTTCATTTCAAACGATTGTTACTATGTAGCCCATGAACCTTTAATAGTCAATAGCTTCATGTCCCAGATAATTAGAAGAGAAGCGATGCGCAGCTAAGTGATTCTGTTAATCAAGTTGTTAATATGAAAAAAAGTCTCCATTCCGATTTAACAACGATTGCTATTCGCAATCGTAGAAAAAATGTAAAATCACTAGGACCAGCCCAGCTAGATTACAGCTGTATAAATGGGTCACTAAACGTTTACTAAGCCTCTGCGACACGACCATGCATTTTTGATCGCCACTCCGGCTATTTTTCGAAGGTATGATTGTTTAAAATAAACAGCAAAGATCATTATGTACAATAGCACCGATTCATGTACAACTTTAATCGAATGGCTCAAAACTTATTAAATTGTTCGTGGTTCAATCCTTGTTTCAGTTATATGTTAAAATCTACCAAACTTAAGAATCGGAAGTTGTTGCATTTAGTTTGTTCCACTGCTCTACAATGGAGTTTTTAGCCGACGATGCTACATAACCACATCCATTTGAGATCTTTGTCGGAGCTGCGAATAGGCCTTCGATACAATAGTCCACTCCGGAATTCCAATTGTGAGCGGGATTTCCTTCAAATTTCATGCCACTGAGTGAAAGCTGGATCTTCTCTTTCGTAGATTTGGAGACTGGGACATCTACATTTCTTAAGAAGTCGAACTTCAAATTGTCTTCAATGAAATTGTTTGATATTTGCTTCCATTTTATGAGTTTCAGGTTGGGTTGGTTTGTTTCAGAAGGTGGGTCCCAGATTCCAAGAGAATAGGTGACGCCGAATGCTCCGCCTAAAAGCGATAGCTTCAGAATAGGCTTGAACATTCGTCGCATTATCAATTATCTGAAAAAAGGTGGCGTTTATTTTCAAAATGATACGAATACAAAACATATTGCAACTTTTAGGTACCGAAATGTAGGAAATTAGAATAATGAGACTAAGTTCAAGTTTTGCAACAATTTTGACCTTATGAAAGAGACTTCATTAAGAACAAAACGCACTTATTAAAAGCTCTCCGATTACTCTCAAGAACCAAACAGGTTTTGTTAGTGCTTAATAGGCAAACAATACTCCGCTTTCACCGTTTTTCCTCTTTCAGTTTAAAACGAAGGAAGTCTTAGCTGTAGACGTGTAGTGTTCAACACCGTTTTACCTCTCCGTTTTTTTTACATGCGCTTGAGAAAGGAAAAAAATGATATAGGAAACGCTATCTGCATTTTCCAGCCACGTAAAGCACAATAAAAGCAAATTTCGTTTCACAAACTAAGAAAAAGCACAAGTGCGTTGCGTTCAATGATTCAATGCAAATATATAGTACCAATACCACTCAGCTGAGCTTGGCATATCTAAAAACGCGTGATTCATCATGTAAAAATGAGGCGTAATTTGCGGCATGGCATGATCAATTCGAGCTTTCAAACATTTTTACTAAAAGGACAAATTGAGACTGAAACTAAATTGCAACGAACGCAGACACGTTTGCAAATTATATAAAATCAGTCATCTGTGGGACGACGGAATGCTATAAAATTCATTTATAAAACAATCACATTTCTGAATTTTACTCTACATTGCAGAGCGAGCCAGAAAACCTTATTGTTTCCAGAATGCAGCGCTATATGCCACAAGAGAATTTCAGTTTCGAAAACGACGAAAATCCTAACGATGGTAGTCCTGGTGATCGGAAACCAACATCTGAAACAAGTTCGCTTGCCGACGATCCAAGGCCTGAAGATCAGGAGCGGACCCAAACTCGAGAACCCAGAGATTACGGACCGGATCCCCGCAATTACGACGATGGCACACCACAACGACCACCACCACCACAACGTTACAATTCCGCGCCACGTCCGCAGCGCGACGGCAGCAGAGACCGAAGATATGATGACGATCGTTCAGGATATCCAGACCAAAACCAACGACGCCAAAGCTACCCAGATAGGAGAGAAGAAGACGATCGCTATTATAGAGACCAATATAGACAAGATCCTAAAGACAATCGTCATGAGTTACAGTACGACAACAGACGAAGACCTGACTACTCTAATCGTCCACCACCGAGTGAAGACCGACAAACATACGACAGTCGACAACGGCCATACGACAATAGGCAACCATACGACAACCGACAACGGCCATACGACACCAGGCAGCCATATGACAACCGACAGCGGCTATACGACAATCGGCAACCATATGACAACCGACAACGGCCATACGACAACAGGCAGCCATATGACAACCGACAGCGGCTATACGACAATCGGCAATCATATGGTGATCGACAACGACCATACGACAACAGTTCAACATACGACTACCGACAGCCATACGACAATAGGGACCCATATGGCAACCGACGAGAGCGGTACAACAGTAGGGAGCCCCAATACGATAACCGACCATATTCTCAGTTTGACAATGACAGGCCAGCTCAGCATGACAACTACGACAATCACAGGTACGGTTGTAATCTTTTCTATTATAATTCTCTCCAGTATATGTTTGTGTGTATTTGTGTGCATGAGTGTGTGTGAGCGCGCGTGGGAATGAATTCGGTTCTTACTCTAGTTTTCTTAATCGGCCGAACCGAATACATATATTTTTTTTGCGTCGTGCTAGGTACCGATCGTATACAGGACAATTCAAATTTGGTCCCTTAGGAGAAAAAGGCCAAAGGGGAGAAAACTGAAGTTAGACTTCTACGTATCCTTCGCAGTTCATTTCCCTTAGATGGCTAGAATACCTGCATCTTTATTGGATTCAAATGATTTAAATCATTCTCACTATGATTGAAGGCCTCCTGAAAGCCGATCTTAATGAAGAATCCAATTGAGATCATTATTACACATAAAAAAAACTGGCAGCAGTACACGGTTTTGAGTGCTTTACTATTGAGCTACCAAAAATAGACTTCAAAAAGACATCAAGTATCAAATGATGAGTTGACACGGGATAAAAGCAATAAAAAGAATCCGAGCGCTCGCAAAAAAGTACTCCATAGGCCTAAAACCTAAAAATTAACACGGGTGCGCAAGTAAAGAAAAACTATTATTTCACATTTTTGAGCAAAAAGATGCGCTTGAAAATCGCCTGACTAAAGTTGGAGTTAAGTAGGAGTAAAGCGAGCAGCTGGTTTTTGATATGGAAAAAGCGAGAAAACCAGCATAGTATAACGTTGTAAATCTTGATATATCTAACAAATGGTAACCCTGTAAAACTCAATAGGCAAAACTCAATATGCAAATACAAATTTCTCACATGGCTAATTTATGTGACAGATATCCGGAACCCCGGGGCCCAAAACCTCCGAAAGCACCTCTGAGCAATGAGCCCGACTACGTTGACCCTAAATACGGACAGCGTCCGGTCTATGACTTCGGGTTTGGAACTGGGAAAAAGCTGGGCTTAACACCTTCCACCCCTCCCCCCACTTACACAGAAACAGCGCCTTTCGTTCCCAAGTCAGAGCAAAGTGAGAGAGCGCAAGAACCTCTGACTGTCTCCTCTACAGTGAATCCATCAATGCAGACTCCACAGCTCGAAATGAACAGCCAGAATGACGAGGGCCAGGGGATGTATCGTCGAAATAATCAAGGCCAGAGGAATGACACTTTGAACCGACAGTTTAACACGAGGTAAGAGATCGCAAGTGGTCTACACATTTCGCCCCTCTGAAATTCAGTGGCACATTTCTTCCCTAATAGCTCGCACTCAAAGTCCAGTAATGAATATGGGGCGAAATGTGTGTAGGGGCAAAACGCTTCGCATCTATCGCAAGTAATATATTTTAGCCAGTGTCGGGCTCGTTTTTAAAATTCTTTGCCATTATTTCACGACACCCCTTACAATATTTTTATGGAAGCGTCGACCTAAACTTGGAGGGAATCGCTAACTCTGACAAAAAAAGAAACTTTTGACCAAAAACTTTCAAGCGAGGATAATATACATCAGTTTTGTGCTAGGCAAAATTGGGATCTCGACGAAGCTTTTCGCTAGTTTTGTACAAGCGTGAACTCCTTCAGTATAAAACCGCAGCCAAATATAGCACTAATTAAATAATGATCATATAACTATTGAGACATGAAATTGATGTCAACAATACCCTAGAATCTTTCTTCTCTAGTTTAAAGTAATTTGTTTAACTATAAATAGGTTCTGGGAACTCTTATTTGCGACCCAACTTTGGTTCAAAAGCAGCATGCAGGTCAAATCGACGCTTAAAATAACTCAGCTTTGAGAGTTTCTTCGCTGAAAAACTTATTCATTAATTTGCCAAGAATTCGCTCAGAAAGTAATAAGTGAATTAGATGAAAAAATTAACTCCAAGTTCCTTAATTAAACTAGCGTATCGTTTGTAGAGAAGGCACTCATCCCGCAATAGCGCGCGCATTTCACAACGACAACAAGAGCATCGGGTCTTCAGTAGAGGACAGCCACAGACAACAGCTCAGACGAGAGAGAGCTAGATCCATGGAATCAGATAGCACTCATCAAAAATCCACCAACAGTCAATCGTTCATGTCACCTTCCAAAGACACTTCAGGTTAGACATGTAAAATACAACAAAACCTATTTAGCTTATACAAATTTGCGCAACAACAGGTTCTAGAATATATTAACCTTATCCAAAAAAAAAACAATTTATCTAATACATAAAAACATTCGTATACAGAGGTGAAGCGGAGCTTTGCATCACTTGCGTTATAACATTAAAAAAGCATCGCAAGCCAGTGAACAAAAAATGAGACGAAAGCCGCAAAATTTAAAATGTCAAAAACACTACACCTAAAAAACACTAGCACATGAATTTTGGTTGGAACTTCTCTTCTCCTACGCCAATCCAGATATCAAAAACTATAACCAATTATCATGGAAAAAGACCAATAAACTAGCTGTTCAGCTCTTTCCGGAGAACCACTGTTGCACGCTCCAGCTGAAAAATGTCAAGCAACATTTTGATTATTTTCTCTCGAGTGAAATATGTTATAATACGTGACTGTCCGATTATTTTTCAGGAGGATGGAAAAAAGGAGGAGAGAACAAACTGGAGGTGATCAGAGGAGGCAAGGAGAGGGAGCAGTGGGACAACAAAGTACAGTACCTGTTGGCAGTGGTTGGATATGCTGTGGGGTTGGGAAATATATGGAGGTTTCCCTATCTAGCCCAGAAGAACGGAGGAGGTAGAGTTGAATAGTTAATATTTTACCCGGAAACATTCATCACTGTGATAGACGTTTTGTTTTCAAAATAGAGAAGCAAAATTTTTGTCGTCCAAATAGATTTTCCGATCTTTTTTTGCTCAAAACAAAATAAGGACCCTCCCTTGACAAAACTCTTAGCACCCCAAAGCGTCATCAAGTGTTCTGCTTTACGGTATCCATTAGCAGCCGACTTCAAAATTTTTCTGAAGTCCCCTTTAGTGCCAGATAATACTTTGCTTGATGGGTGCGTGTATCATTTTGTCATCAAGTTTCGACAAAATAGGGTCTTTATTGTGTTTTGTGAGAGCTCGGAAAACAAATTTGATCAACCTTAAAAAAGGTCGGCAACGATTGCGATTTTTTTTGAAACTCCAAATCCCCCAAGAACATGCTAGTCCAAACCTCGGAAGAAAAGTTACTATTTTCCAAGATAACAACTTCAAGGTTGTGCGTTTTCCTTTTTTTTGAAAAAAAAAAGAGTTAAAACTATAGCAGGCGGTATAGTTTTTGTTCTGAAAATGCATTTCTAAGACTGAACAAACAAAATCGCAGTTCAGATTTTGATCAGCTATTTCAATAAACGTGAAATACTTCATGGACTAATTTGGTGAAAACAACCAAGGCTTTATGTTCAGCAGAAATAAATCATTGTATCAGCCATTTGATTTTACCAGTTAATTAAACATCCAATAGACATGATTTAAATCGTGAACAACTTTAAGCGTACACAACTTGAGCGTGAACAATTTTCAGCGCGAACCACTAAAACGTGAGCAATTGTGAGCGTGAACAACTTTAAAAGCAAAAAAATCACAAGACCTATAAAAGTTTCGTCACTACGTTCACAGGCAGTAAAAAACGCAGCAGTTTCACTTTAAACGATCAAAACACACATGGTTTTTAGGACATCGTTATTCTAAAGAAGTATAGGGATAATGAAGATAACAAATACTGAAGGGACACATTTTCTGAAGATAACAAACCAATATTCAAGAACTTCAATGAAAAGAACTCCAATGAATAGACCGCATATTCATAAATGATCAACTGTAGCGTGTTTCAGGCGCTTTCCTCATCCCCTACCTCTGCATGTTGGCAATCGAGGGAGTCCCGCTTCTCATTTTGGAACTGCACATCGGACAGAGGTTCCGGCGAGGTCCTCTTTTGGCTTTCCGAGACATGAGCAAGTATGCAGTCGGAATCGGCATGGCTTGCATGGTCTCTTCCTTTTTCTCGGCCTGTTATTACAACACAGTAATATCCTACTGTATATTCTACATGGGGATGTCATTTCGCAAAACTCTTGCATGGGAAAGTTGTCCCGATGACAGTGGTGTTAACACTAGCGAGTGTAATTTAGCAGGACCTGCCTCTTACTTCTGGTATCGCGAGACACTCAACATTGCGGACTCAATCGAGGATTCTGGTGGTGTAAGTTGGAAAGTGTTCGTGTCCACTTTGGCAGCATGGACTCTGATTTGTGTTTGTCTAGCTCGAGGAATCAAGTCATCGGGAAAAGTAAGAAAAACAGATTATTTTGACCCCGAGAAGCAAGTTACAAAACTTGACGCATAAAAAAAATATAAGTTAAAATTGGGCTATTTAGGGCCTTAGCGAGGCTGGGGGTATTTCCAAGAAAAACATGAACCCAAGAAAAACATGAACCCGACCTTTTAATGAATCCAATTTTTAGCACTGATAAAATGAACATGTCTCGACTGTTATAGTTAATGATAAGCTGGGTGAACTGCACTTTCAAACCTAGCAGAGAGATTGGAGGAACCAATATAAGTTGTTTTTAGATCATGCATTGTGCATTAATTTTAGGTGGTTTACTTCACAGCAACATTTCCCTATTTGGTGCTGACTATTTTCTTCTTTCGTGGCGTCACTCTCGAAGGCGCAGGAGATGGACTCAAACACTTGTTTAAGCCCGACGTAAGTTCAAATTTTGAAAAAAATGACATCAAACTTGTGACATTCAACTAAAAACATAGCCAGCCTCAAAGATTTAGAAACTTTTGATTAAAAACAGGGGCGGATTTATGGGGGGTGGACGCCCCCCCCCCCCCTCAGGGATTCGACCCCCTGCCGACCCAAAGGTACTTTTTAAGAATTCCATTTTTGGCCGACCGACCCTAAAATTTTTCTAAAGGCGCCTTTGGCGCCAATACATACTAATTTTGAGGGGGGAGTGCGCGCCGAGAAAACGCAATTTTTTGGTCAAAATTTTCCAAAAAGTGCCTAAAAACGCCTTTTTGGCCTGTTTTTTCAAAATTTTGTCTGCGGCGCAGAAATTTTGGCCAAAACAGGGTTTAAACAGTGCTTAGGGAGAGCTCAAAAAATCAATTCGGTCGACAAATTTTTTCGAAAACTTTTTTGAAAATCCGCCCCCCCCCCCCCCCCTCGAGTCAATCTAGATCCGCCCCTGATTAAAAACATTTGATCTTCAATACGAGGGCTGGTTTGACATCTCCCGTGCGTTAAGATTTGTAAGGCAAGCTCTTACGAGTAAGCTTAAGCTTAGTTTAACTTGCTTACTATAAAAGAGGAAATTTTCGCTTGTTTAAGAGTCATTCATTTGTGTTCAAAATACTCAAGATTCATTTGCATGTTGCAGTTTTCCAAAATCTACGACGGACAAGTGTGGCGCGAGGCGGCCAGCCAGATCTTCTTCACTCTCTCCCTTGCAGGAGGGGGACTCATCTCCATGTCCTCCTACAATAGCTACAACAACAACTTCGCCAAGGACGCCATCATCGTCGCATGTGCCAACAGCCTCACTTCACTTTACGCAGGAGCTGTCATATTCTCAATTGTCGGTTAGCTTTATTGGCCCTTTTTATCTACGAAAAGGACCAACAAAAGAGATATTCAGCTTTATGCTAAGAACAGCTTTTAGCCCCTGATTAAAAGGGCTATATTTATCTTCCTTTTAGCAAAAAAAAAGAACTTGAAAAAATTGAGAATTCAAACTGCGAGCATGAAGACTTCCTGAAAAAATGCAAGAAAGAACATAAAACGTGTCTTCACTACGCTCAATGATTATTTATTATTAATAAAGCTGAGAAACAGCAAAGCAAAATTCGAAGCAATGACATGCTCAGAATTGCGCTACTGATACTCAAATCCACCAGCTATACCGATCAGCACTTGTAACGTTTAAGGGCACATGGCGACCGTGGAGTTTAATGAATGCACCAAGCAATTTGAGATGGACAGCGCCGCTCTGCAAGTGGACCCCTCCAACAACCCTTGTAATCTGGACACCTTCATGACTGAATCTGTCTCTGGAAGTGGACTCGTCTTTATTACCATCGCAAAGGTAGAAACGTAATACAGCATCTTCAAAAGTTGACAATAGTTGATGAACAATTCATTTTAACAAGATCTTCGTTGTTTCATGGATCTAATATTTCTAAAAAAAAAGAGATTAAAGAAATTGTTTTCGGATACCAAGAGAGGCATTTTCAGTCTAAAGGCTTTTGTGGGCCGAAAAGGGAATTGTAACCAAACTGTAGTTGGTGAAATAAGAATCAATAAAGCCAAGAAATTTTTATTTACAATTGTTCTTTAAACGGCAAACATGCTGAAAACATGAGTGGTGACAGTCCTCCAACGGATTTGGTCCTAGTGAGCTTCATTGAAAGCATATTTTCAATCAAAAAAATTTCTAACCGGTCACAATACGGAAGCTGATGAAACAACTAGCAACTTGACATTAACCTTAATTTACTTCACATGAAGAGGTAGGGGAGCGGTGGCGAAGCATTTACCGCTTCTCCTCTCAAAAGAAAGGCAGGTCCTCCTTCATAATCTTCGAGGCCCTTCATGATCAGTGCTCGTTGCTTTGAAGCCGAGGCAACATTTCCCAGTCTAGAAAAAAGCCGAAAATTGCATACAATTCTTAGTCAGGGGAGCAACATCGGTTCTGCGTGAAGAGCTAAACAGCTCGTATGCTGTTGTTTTTTCCTTGTGGATAAGTCGTTTTGACCTAACTAACATTCTTTTAGGCTTGTACTGAGTTCGGCAGTGCAGGACCCTTCTTCGCCATCGTGTTCTACTTCATGTTGATCACACTGGGCATGGACAGCATGTTCGGGATCCTGGAAGCAGTCATCACCTCTCTCACAGACCTCAACTTCTTCAAGAACATCCGAAAGCCAGTCATTGTCGGTATGCAGTCGGGATTGATCATATTTTTTAAGACTTTAGTCAATCAACACAAGCTTCAATGGAGAAAACGACAGACTTGATACTGGAAAAACTGGCATTTTTCAGCCATGCTTGAACGTTATAGCTATAATCTGCGTGTTTTGAGCATTTTCTGGATGCTTATTACAGTTTTTAGGAGATCTTGAGACATACTTCCTGTTTGAGAAATTAGCTTTTGCATACCCAAACTGTCTAGAATGGGTCATTTGCTCATATTAAATTTTGTCTAAAAAGTTAATGCGACTATAATTTTGACCGTTCGTTATTGTTTTCAGCCGTGTGTTGTGGATGTGGCTTCATGTTGGGTATCACATTCACCGCCACCACTGGCGAGTATGTGTTCCAGATGTTCGACGAGTACGTCGCCTCCTATCCTCTCTTCATCATCGCACTCTCAGAAGTCTTAGTGGCAGGCTGGCTCTACGGCATCGATAAGTTAGTAATACTTTCTTTGCTCGGCTATAATAACAACAGTTCTCATCCTTCTGTCTGAAAAAGAATCAATATGCGTCGACTGGATCGATATACAGCTATCCTAAGTCATCAGCACTTGGTTGGAGAAAGATAAAACCCAGAAAACTTAGTAGAAAAAATTATTTTCACGGAAAATTCAAGACGAAAAAGGAAGAACAAAAACTTAGATACAAAAGCACGATATCCTTTAAGAATGAAGCGGAAACAAAGCCGACCATTTTTGAGCAGACACCAGTTGAGACACCAAAAAAAAGAAAATTAAAATAAAAGTTTCCAAGTCCCCCCTGAAATTACAATGAAGAATACTTGCGAATATATTGAAAATTGCTAACGGCACAGGAAAAATTCGTAATATGCCAACTAAGCCGACAAACACAAGCAGACAAACGATAGCACAATTATTCAGAGTTTCCCAGAAAAAAAATCAAATTACTTGCATAAAAAAATACAAAAACCGGCCGGGATTCAAACTCCTAAGGATCTTAGACCTAAGGATCCCAAAACATGCTTGTTCCCACTAAACTAAATGATAACGAGCCTCGACGGTGTTGCAGTTCCATGATAAAATAATTCAACTTCTTACAGATTTGTATAAATAACTGTTTATTGGAAAAGTTTTTTCCCGATTACAAGTCACCTGCTCTCACAAGTGAAAAAAAAACGAAATGAAACTTTTCTTAACTCTATAGGGAAAAGATATCTGATCCAATGTTGATGAAAATGTATATTTTGCACCAAAAATTAAAACCAAAAAGATGCAAATGCTATTAAAACATTACATTCCGAGGCTGATACAATTCAACAAGCCAATAGTAAAGCAAAAAATTATATCAAAGCCACCAGTTACGAGCTAAAATATGTGCGCATACGTAGTTGCCAACAGAAAAAGACCAGAACCCGAACTTAAAACACTTTGCAACCACAAGCGTAATTAAACAGGTTTTTAAGTTAAGCACGCGTGCTGATTGGTCAGCTCTCAAATTTAAAACTGGGCTTTCAAAATAACGTGCAAAAACAAACTCCTAACATGGATAGCCGATTACTGTGCAACTAGCACAGAATGTTCCGACCATAGTCTTTAAAAGAATACATTCTTTTTTCAAATAGTGTCCCTTTTTGGCGTGGTGTGATACAAGGATCTGAACGAAAAACTAGAGCTCGAACATATCTGACACTTATAGAGAAAAAAGCAAATTGGAAAACAATGTTTGCAGAAAAACTATTAGAATGAAGAACAAAAAAAATTTTTTTTGCTTGTTTTTGATCGCAAAAAGGTGCAAAAAAACTACACTTTACTCGAGTAAATCTACGTTTTACGGCTTAAATTAAGCTATTGCAAGCGAATTATAAGCCAATAAAATAAGCTATTGTGGGCTGGCTCACTCACTGCATTCGCTCGAATTAAGACAAAAAAATAAAAAATTTTAAACCAGTTTTTCTTAAAACTGGAAAATTTTCTGTAAATTTTAGAGTCGTTGGAATCACGACTGAAAGGGGCTTTGATATGATATATCACTCAACTCTCACCGATGATTATTTGCGGTAGCTGATTTGTGAGGAAAAGAAAACAAACTAAAACACACCCGAATACAAAATTCTTCCTTATATTTCAAATGGTCGGAATAACACCATTTTGTCTGTGGTCGTTACTTACTGAAAATGGCTAGTCTTGGGTTTCTTGGGCAGAGCTTGAAAAATTTGAAATGGCTGACCTAAAAAAACCCTGTCAAAAATTCCTGCGCATGTCACTGATAATAATCATACACATTCCGCAGAATGTGGATAAACATGAAATTTCTTGTTTCAGTTTTGCACAGGACTTCTACCTTATGACTGGTCAGCAGCCATTCATTCTTCTCCTCGTGATGATCAAGTTCGTCTGTCCCACCGTCATGATCATCATCTTCTTCGTCAACATTATCTACTTGTTCAAAGACGGGGCATCCTACTCCCGATACAACCAAAACTTGGTGAGCAGATGCAGTGGTGGACAGTTTTAATATAGTTTGAGCGAAACAAACAGCCTTTTTTGTTGATGTCTATAACCCAAAGGCTCACTGATATCTGAATAACAGTAGACTAAATACCCATAGAAAAAATGAAATCGTACATAGTGCTGATTTAAAGTATCCGGACAAAACGAACGAAACTCGAATTTTCAAACGCGTTTTTTTCAAATTGGGTTAAGATTAGTCAAAAAGTGAAGAGATCAAAAGTTGATAAGAATTTCTTCAGAACTCTTATGATGCAACTTTTTCTCCGAAATTCTCAACCAAAATTTTAACCCAAAAATGGGTCATTTTGGCTTTTTTCATTTAATCAAGAATTACGCTGAAACTACATTGTTAATTGATGAGAAAATTATATCACAAGAAGCCTCTTACACAACAAAGTTTAAGAAAGGTTAAATCTTCAAAAACCAGTATAAGAGAAAAAATTTTTACTTGATAGTCAATGAATGTGATTTTTACTATGTAAAACCCAGAATCTGTTTAAAAACAAATTTTAAACAATTTGCGCTAATTTATGGAGATTTAATCCTCTTAAACTTTGTTGAGCTGTGTAAGAGACTTCTTGTGATATAATTTTCTTATCAATTAACAGAGTAGTTTCAGCGTAATTCTTGATCAAATGAAAAAAGCCAAAATGACCCATTTTTGGGTTAAAATTTTGGTTGAGAATTTCGGAGAAAAAGTTGCATCATAAGAGTTCTGAAGAAACTCTTATCAACTTTTGATCTCTTCACTTTTTGTCTAATCTTAACCCAATTTGAAAAAAAAACGCGTTTGAAAATTCGAGTTTTGTTCGTTTTGTCCGGATAATTTAAATCAGCACTGTATCTTGAAGATAAAATCATTTTCAGATTGATTAACAAGAAAAGAGCAACCGGTCTCTGGTTAAATTGCACAGAATACTCCGAAGACTTATCATAGCAAAAAAAATATTTCATCACATGGTTCATGCATCTTTGAACTGAGCTCTTTGAAAAGTGATTTTTTCATTCATAATTTAGCTAAAATTTGAGGCTGAATAGCTGCTATATAAATTTCTTATATGTTAATTTCAGGGATCAACAGAGCCTACACCCTATCCCGGATGGGCCAAAATGGTTTGTGCCATGTTAACACTAGTATGTACATCATACATACCAATTATGGCAGTATACGTGCATTTCACGAAGAAGAAACTATTCTCCCAAGAAGAGACGGAGGATTTTCCAGAACAAGAGCTGTTCAAGCATTACGATTTGGGCGCCAAAGATCCTTATTATCCTCCTGTGCTGCTGAGAAAATTTAGGTTAGCATCAAGTATTTATCTACAAACAAAACAGCCAACAGACAGTTGCAAAAGAGTCATTCAACTAAAAACCAACTTTACAAAAATGCTGTTGAAACATTCTTACAACCTTATACTCAGAATGTCTATACCTAAATTCGAAATTCCGTTAAACTAAGCTAGTTAACAAACAGAAGCGGATCTAGGATTTTCTCAAGGGGTGGGGAGGATTTTATAAAAATTGTTCGAAAATTTTGAACTTTTTTAGGACGACCATATTGATTTTCGGAGAGCTCCCAGAAAACTATGGAAACCCTATTTTGACAAAAAAAAACTAAGCAGCAGGCAATCTTTTGGAAAAAAAAGAGGTCAAAAACGCCGTTCTTGTATACTATTTGGAAAATTTTGACCAAAAAAAACTGGCGAACACTTCCCTTCAAAAGTTAGTATATATTGGCGCCAAAAGCGCTTTTAGAACGCCCTTGGCGCCAATATATATTAACTTTAAAATAACGGTATTAAAATAAGGCCAAATGGGGACCCTTTGGTTGGTGAGGGTTTCGAATCACTGAGAGGGGTGCATCCGCCCCCTTTTAAATCCGCCCCTGTTAAGAAGACTAAATTTGTCTAAACAAACACCGCTCTCCACGAGCACAACTATTCCTCCCTTTTCAGAAATGAAACGAAAAATACATGAACACGGAGCTTTTTCAAATTGAAGAAACGTTTCCGACCGCCAGTTCTTTTATAACACCAGCCCATGGATTAATATGTAATCTTAGGTCGTTGGGATATCTACAAACTGAAATCCACTTTTGAACTAATCATTCCGTTTTTGAGCAATTTGCGCTGTCGTTATTGGAGTTTGTAAATATCCCTCAAGCAAATAAAATCGAATTGAAACTGACAAGAAATGAAAAGTCAAAACATGAAGTTTTTTAACATGAAGTTTAACATGAAAAAACATGAAGTTTAACATGAAATTAACTCCATGAAGAAGCGTCATATTTTAGCTATTCAGCCTGGTCTTGCTCAATATTCATAGAATTTTCTAATCGATTTGAAAATTGTAGAACATTGAGAAACACAAGACCAGGCTATTTAGCTAAAATACGACGCTTCATCGTGGAGTTAATTAGGGCGACAGAAAAACTTCATGCCTCGTTAGGAAAAAATGAACCAAACAGCTAAGTTTGCTATCACAACAGAGGACTCATGTATACTTTCAGGAGGGAAGTTTCGGTGTCAGATGACATACGCGATCGACACGCAATCGATGCCTTTTCTGACCCCAGATCAGACAAATCAAGTAACCTAGATGACATGTTGTCCATTCGAAGCAAAGTCGCTTCTGAAACATCAAGTGTGAAAAACTATCATGAGAACCAATCATATCAGCCGGACCAAGCAAAGGATGTGAACTCTTTAAACAACCAGGAATTACACATGGAAACAGCAATAGATGCCAATGACCATGAGTTCTTTTAGAATAACAGAACATCAAGTCGACCTCTATTTTTGTACCTCTATTTGAAATTCGAAAAATATACTTCTCAAACTTTTTCAATAAAGTTCAGATTCCATTCATGAAATGTTACTATCCTTTCGATTACACCTCTAAATATCAAATAAATATATTTCAAATTTCACTCATTTTTGACTTATCATGACCTTTCAGATTGACCAAAAAGATATTCTGAAAAGGCCGGTTGATATATAAATTCATGACCAATTCGTAAACAAATTTATCTAAGCTTCATCTGAACCAACAACCGTAGAGCATTTTTAGTTAAAATTGCATCACACTACAGTCCAATCTAATCGCAAATTCAAAAATCTAAGACTGTGTTCCAAAAATGAGCACTGATCAAAAATCTTTGAGAAAATTTTCAATGGGAAACGATGACGAAAAACAAAGTCTTCTTCCATCAAATATGTCCTCAGGACGATCAAGTATTGATGATAAAAACTGCTCTTTTTTCTCCAAAATAACCTCAACTCGCTTCCAATTGGCCTACTTAGGCTTCATAGGATTTATGATTGTCTTCGCAATTCGCATGTGCATCAACGTAGCTTTGGTGTCCATGGTTGCTGATAGCAGCCAGAAATCTTCTTCGGTCAACGATCATTGTCCTACTAGAAACACAACCAGTTATCAAACAGAAAACCCTGCTAACAGTCGCGTATACTTTGATTGGACAGTTCAAGAGCAAGCACGGATTCTCGGCGCTTATTTCTACGGCCGCTTATTCACGCAAATACCTATAGGAAGCCTCGTTTCAGCTTACGGCGGAAAACATGTTTTAGGATTCGGAATTCTCTTATCTGGCCTTTTAACGGCTGCAATTGTACCGGCTGCTTATTTGGGACCTAACTGGGTTCTAGTTTGTCGGCTGCTCATTGGAGTGGTTGACAGTGGTACCTTTTCGGGCTACTTTCAAATGGTTGCAAAATGGGCTCCTAAGCAGGAACGAACTGTCTTCTCTACAATGGCAACAGCTGGAGCGTATTTGGGTAACGTGTTCGGATTTCCATTGGTAGGCTATTTATGTGGGCTTGAATTTGCTGGCGGTTGGCCCCTCCCTTTTCTAGGAATCGGAGGAATTACGGTTATTTGGTTCATCGCCTGGTCTGTTTTGATATACGAAACGCCTGCTGATCATCCAAGGATTTCACTCGAAGAACGCGAACTACTGATGACAAGTGTTGACTATCACACTATAAAATCAAAACAAAAAGAAAAAATTCCATGGAAGAAAATCGTGACAAGTAAACGAGTATACGCGCTACTTGTAGCAAGATGGGCCGACGGTATTTTTGGAATGGGTTTGTCCATGTGTCTCTCTCAGTACTTCTCGTACGTACTTAACTTAGACATATCTACAAACGGTTTATTGAGTGCCGCTCCGTGGCTATCGTGCTTCTTAGCATCATTCGTATTTTCAACAGCTGCCGATTATTTAATCAATCAGAACTACTTCTCCATTACATTCGTCCGGAAATACAACCAAGCAATCGCTGCCATATTCCCTGGAATACTTTTAATAGCTACTGGATACTCCGGCTGCAGTGTTAAAATGGCTCTATTGTTTCTTTCTGCAGCTGCATTTTTCTTTGGATCGCACTTCTCGGGATCAGTCTGCAATGTTTTAGACTTAGCACCGAAACATGCTGGCATCTTAACTGCATTTGGAAACACTGCTTCTTCATTGGCTGGTTCGGTAGCCCCAATTATAGTCGGTGCTATTATTGAAAAAGATGCTCACAGTGACCTACTATGGAGACGTGTTTTCATGTTTTATGCGGCCGTGAGTTGGCTTGGTGGCATCGTATTTGTAGCATTTGGATCTGGGAAAGCTCAAATGTGGTCAAAATAACTTTGCCCGATACTCAGTTCTTAAGTATGACCTCATTAACTTGACTTAATTTTCCAATTTAAAAACCACGTTTAGCTTTAGAAATGACCCGTTTTAATTTCTATATAGCATATCATTATTCAAATTTTTATGTCGACATTTTAGAAAGCGATTTTGAGTTTAGACACAGAAACTTGCCGAAAACGGAGTAAATCTTAATAGCAGCGGTGTAACAAAGAAAAATTGCAATCAATTTCAAACAAACATTATGCAATCTTGAGGACAGAAAATAAACCAAAAGCTACCAGTTTGAGAACAGAAAAAAATTAAAATACATTACCTGGTTTATTACCTGGTGCGCCACACGCACTCAGGCTTGAATGATCTGTCATAGTGGACATCATATTGTGGTGTGGCATCCCGGAAGCGGTTAGGAAACCATTATACCGGGGTTTTCAAGGCAGAGGTGCTTGAGCAAACTCTCCTTGAATATCAATTATGAAAAAACGTCCGACAACACAACCACCGGCGCTAAAGAAGAACTGAAAACATTAACCGAGCGTCAGCTGAGCCGATAACTATTCAGCAGACGTCCGTTGCGCCGAAAACAAAAAAAAGACGAAACAAAAAACGGTTGTAAATCATGAGCGTTATTGTAAGAAATGAACAGAACATGTAAGCTTAAAGTATGGAATAATTATTATTTAATTTCAGAACTGTAGGTAAACGGAAATTCCCCTTTCTTTATGAAAAACAAATATTAAGGCTAAAACTTGATGTAGTTGACCAATTTCTAGCATAACCTTTTAATTATGTGAACCGACAAAAAAAACCTAAATTACAAAAGGGGCCCTTCCGTTTAGTTACGGTAAGTGCACAAGCTGGATAGGGCCATACCAGCGATATAAAAATGCATATATATCAGCAATGAAGTAATAAATCAGCATTAAATGCATCGTCATAATGTTAATTTATCTTCGCCGTCCTTCCTCTACAATAGCACTTATGGAGTTGTCGATAAATTGAACTTTGCGTAGCGATCTGCACCCCCTTATACAAAGTGTAGAGCTCCTCAGGAGCGCGAAGCTTATTTTAGTTCTTATGTAGTTTATAGATTCTGGATAGCTTTCTTGTCTTTTTTCACTTAGTTTTTCGGCCAATCGCTGCATCGTCCGCGTGGCTGTTGGAGCAGCGCCACCGGTGCATCCAAAAATTAGCGGGCAGAAGCTACTCTGCTCTACGTTTAAAATTCTTTGCTGATATTTGGAGTTTTTCAGCGTTTCGTGGTATTTGTATGCATCCTTATGCAGTTTTCGCAATGTTTTGGCATGGGGGTTGAAAATTTTCACATCAAAGAAAGCGAGGCTGAATCGTGAACCCCAGAGTCCGTTTGCCTTAATATCATGTCGTGCCTCATCTTCAGTTGTAGTTGAATTGTTGACAAAGCTTTCGCCTTGCAACGGCTGAAGTTTCGGCTCAATCTCGACGTCATGGCAAACCTCGTTCATGAGGTTGGCGAATGTGTCTCTGATTTCATTGTGTCTTATGCGTGTGTAACCACCCTTTGCACAGTGAAGCGCATGTGTTAAGTTAAAATCAGCACCACATGCACATGTGAGTAGGCTTTTGGTTGGCTCCCAACTGTATCTTAAGTAAATACCATCTCTGAACTCTGATTTTTTCAGGTTGAAGTTGTATCTGCTCAGTGGTAGAGCACTGAGCCAACTAGAGGCTCCCTTTTCAGAGGCCAGGTCGATTGCGTATTTATCTGTTTCATTTAAGGAGTTAATGAGGTTTTTTTTTTCAATTTGTTCTTTCAGTTTTCAATTTTTTGATTTTCGTACATATTTTTTCTTGCTGTGTTACCGCTGTAATAGGATCTTGAGATTCCAGTACCAGTGATGTTTCCTTAGACCATTCTAGGTAGTTTTCATGGGGTACAGGACTTTATCCTTCACGGTAATTATCCTCCAGCCGATATCCTCCATGGCGGATAAAGTCCTCCGAGTATAAAAGCGCCTTTTTCATTTATTGAGAAGAATGAAACGGAAAAAAAACAAAGCAGATAGGAGAGATTAACTGACAATTAAAACTGCGATGACATTGAAAAACAAAAATTAATAATTTCAATTAAATCGTAATTGAAGTTTTCGATTTCGTTGGTTTTTGTTGAGCATGGCAAATTTCATGGTTTCTCAATGGAAACGGACTTTATCCTCCAGATGTTCCGAAGTCAACTTGTTCCATATAATTGGGCTGCCCGTACGCGGAATGATCAGGAAGTTCCATTTATTGTCTGAAATGATCAAATATTGGATATAATCTAATTATTTGACTGAATTTACTAATTGGAGGAAAACATCCAAATTCATAAAATTGGGGGATAAAAATGGAGGAAAAAGTCCCTGTTTGAGAAATGGAGGGTAATGGTGGAGGATATCGCCTGGAGGATAATGACCGTGGAGGATAAAGTCCGTTTCCCGTTTTCATGATCGGACGGCAGCTTGATGTTAAGTCCGCCCATTTTAAGGGGTAAGGAAGATATCTCACGGAACTGGGGGCTTAAAGTGTCTTTACCGACTAGGTTAGGTAATTATTGTTCTTTGATATAATTTTCACATATTTCTAAGTTTTCCATAGTGTTAGACGTTGTCCTGGCAAGACATGAAAGCTTTTCTTGAACTCCTTTAGTATAGCAGGCAAAAACGTTTTGAAGGGAGGTTTTAGCAATTTTCGTTAGTTTTTTCAAAATTTTGATTTGCTCATTCTGTTGAAATTCGAGGAACTTTTTACATTCAGATTCTGTTCCTATAACTGAACCAAGCACTCGGGCTCCTGCCTTTATAGTGATTCCTGTATTTGCGAAGATTTCCTGAGCTTCACCGAGTTTTTCATCTTTGACAATGAGTTGGCATTTGGATGCTTTCACGTGGTAGCGATACCAGTGATACAATTTTATCGAGGACGGTTCGTAGATTGCTTAATTTACCGACTGCGTTTCCGTCGTCTGCGTACCATTTCTGGGTTACATCGTCTACTGATAAAAGTTTTATGAGGGGTATTATGGCTAGACCGTACATGGCCATTGCTAGTGGATCCCCCTGGGTTGTCCCTTCCTGAGAGTAGATTTTTTTTTTGTAAACGAATAGTTTAGATGGGTTGGAGTAGGAGTTCTTAATCGCTGTTAAAAGGGAAGGGCTGGTAATTTCGATGTTTTTTAATGCCAGCTTTCGGTTCAGCGAGTTGAAAGCGTTTTCGGCATCTATCAGTAAAACAGCATCGGCGGAAGTTTTGCTGTATTGATTTCTTAGCGTGTGGATCGCATATTCAATGCCACATTTTTGTCCTAGGCAGAGTTGGTAGTTTGAACCGAGCGACATGAGTTCGTTTTTTAGGCATTTAGTTATTGTTCTCCCTATTATCCTACGCATAACTTCTCCAATGCCTATGGGTCTTACCCCTGGATTCTTATCTAAGGGTATTAATCTGCATGCGTTATATGGTTCCATTAGTTCTGGATTTAGTTCTTCTTTGGCCAATTTTTTGGCAATTTTAGCAATTATTTTTGAAATTTCAACTGATTGTTGCCCGAAGTGTGTTAGAATATATCTCCATTCATTCGCATCGAGGCCAGATGGTCCATGCGATCCGTGCGTTCTCATGGCTGCCTTCTTGATATGATGACCGTTTATCTGATCAAATATCGATGGATGGAAATGAATTGTTTCGTTTGAGACTGGTGTAATATAGTTCCCATAAATTGGTTCAGATAGTGGGTGTTTCTCTATGAGAGTCTGTTCAACTGTCTTACCTTTGAAAATCTCGTCGAGCGAAAGAACGCCTCTAGATGTGTCTGTTAGTTTTGCAATTGCGCTTGATATTTTTCCAGTGTTCATTAGTTTGTTGAACTGTTGTGCTTCAGTTTCAGTTTTTCTTCTACTTCCTTTCAACAAGCGCATTTGCAGCGCCTTTCCTTCGTTATATAGTCCATTCAGGTCTCCGTCTTGCCATTGATTAAGTCGCCTTGCTATTGTTTTGGATAAAGATCAATCAATTTCGGACTTTGTTTTGCACAGTAATAAGTGTGGAAAAATCATTGCTGCGTGCATTGCGAAGGTATTTTTGTTGTTTTCTATTAGGCTGTTCAAAGTTCTATTGAGGGTTTCAATAAAGTTATAACCAACTTTATTTTTTGACAAGATCATAAAGACCGGTTTCCAGTGGACCACTTTGGTGTATATTTTCATGGTGGTTTCTATGAGTTCTGGACAGGGGTTTGACCATGGGTCTTGTATTGTTCTGGGTTCTATAGTGGAATACTCGCCTGAGTTTGTGAGTGTGGGGCAGTGGAAGGGTGAGGGTGCATTTGGGGGAGCGTGGTTGTAGCTAGGGTTCACACAACATTGATGATAAATGACAGTAAGGCAAACGCCTTGTTAAAATAACAAGCAAAATTTCGCTTTTTATCTCAAAATTATACGACATATAGAAACAGAGCTGAGAAAAGAGCTCATCTTGATAACAAAACAAACGTGAAATTCAAGCTACCCGGTACAAGTTCAATTACACTAGTGGACAAAATTTAGCGCAAATCCAGGACTTTACAATCCTAAATGCCTGTTTCCAAAACCATTTTGGACAAGATTTCCTTTGCAATTCAGTAATTTCTTACAAAGACATGGATCAAATAATCAGAGCTACCATCTATGAAATTATTAAAATTTGGTTTCAAAGACTTTCCGGTGTAACCCGGATCTCAAAATGCCAGTTTTTCCAATTTGAATTAATTTATTTTACTTTGCACGAAAAAGTAAGACGCGACCGAACTCAGTAAGCTTTTCACACTGATTGTTTCCATTTTCTTGTTAAGAATGTTTTACGTCCCATGAACAATTTTTTTGTACGTTTGTGTTTTTCCGTTTTTAGACTGATGATGATTGTTATCAATCGAAAACGTTCTCTTAACTAACATTGATTGTTTTTCCTGAGCAACTTTTTTTACTCCGTTTAGTCGAGCAAGAATTCACTACGATGCAACAATAAATGCCGATAAGGATAATTGTCTTTTTCGGACCTGGATTATATTGGAAAGTCTTTGGAACCAAATTTTAAGAAGATAAATCTCTTTGAGAAATGGGCAATCAGTTAAGGTACTTG